ATATCAGTAGTATAACAGACGGTAAGTTAGTAATAATAGAGATAACTGGGTTCAGCTCTCATTATCAACACAATTGTGGATTAATCAACGTGCATAATAATACCATACACTGAATTTATGCACTGGGTGAAAAAGTGAGGAAAATCAAACGAGTTATTGCCTTCCCCACTATAATACACTTGCAACAGTCATGAGGCCCGACTGAAAGCTGCTACCTTGACGTGGTGGTCGGGCTTGAACACCGCAATGTCCCAACAAGCTATACTGTCTGAGACTTGTGTTTCTTGGGGTCCTACCATGCAAGAAAGGTTGTTTGGATAGCGACTAGACAAAAAGCAGCCGCCCAGTCCAATACTATGATACTCACAAAATATCCGTCGGAGCCAGGATTAACAATGACCGCGCCTCCTGCTGCAGTGTCACATGGCAGAAGTGATAAATATGCTACTAAAACACACCGAGAAATAAAGAAGAAACAAAAACAGGCAGCGTGTGACCGGCCTCAAGCAGTTATCCCTTGGGCTCTGCGGTCACCCAAACAAAATCCACGGTGTTGCCAGGCGGGAAGTAACAATCGCCATCACAATCCGAATTGCACAGGAAATGTCAATGTAGTTGAAGATTGAACGATCAATTCTTGGTTGTTTGCTCAAAATCACCTTCCCCGATTTTCGCGGAGGCATCAATACGACAGTCATCGTCTAATCGGTCGCCGTTCAGAAAGAAGTCAGCAGAAAACCGTCAGAAGTAATATTGTAATTTATTATTGTAATATTTGTTCACAGACCTTAGTTGTAACATTGTTTATATGTTGGTGTAACAATAAATAATCCTCGAGTCACCAATTGGTGTTTTGGTTTTATCGTCCGTTACTACTAAGCGTTTCTGAGAAACTTCAAGGAACAGCGTGAGCCCGAGCGTAGCAAGAGCTGGGCATTAACGGTTTACGACACGTAGCTGAGAGGAAAATTCTCTAATCCTCACTCATCTTTCCCTTCAACTTCATCTCAATCATCTTGCATTTCTTCCAATGATGCAACTCCTCTATTTCATGTATATTCATTTCCTCTTCATTCTAAGTCCACTAAATAAGAAAAAAGCCAAAAATTCACCGCTGATAGTCCCCTAAAGCCACGGTATCAATTTCATATGGGAGCATTTGAAGTCAGCACACATTGACAAATAGGACAACAAGCATCACTAGCCAAGACCCTGGCATCTCGAGCCATTGATGTATGCTGTGTTTCAGAAACACGCATACAAGACCCAAGTGTGAATATTCACCTAACCCCACCTGACCAACAGGTTGAATCTGCAAAATTCACCTTGAGGGTGTCAGGAGATGCCACAGCTAGTTCACGAGGATTAGCTGGCGTAGGGATAGCTTTGAGTACTAGGGCAGAAAAGACATTGCTTGACTGGATCCTGGTAGATAGCCGAATATGTACTGTCCGTCTGAACGGATCAGTAAGAAGGAGGAAGGACTGCACTACTCGCCGATGTCTTTTCGTAATCTCCGCCTACGCCCCCACTGACTGCAGTTCGGATGAAACGAAGCATGGGTTCTACCAAAAGCTGTCTAGCTTGCTGCGAAAGACTAAACGCTCAGATATAGTCGTTCTAGCTGGTGACTTTAATGCTCAAGTAGGGAAATTGTGTCATTCTGGGAAGGATGTCGGTGGCACCTATGGAGTTCCGTGCCAACGAACCGACAACGGTGACCGTCTCCTACAGTTCTGCTCTGATAATCATTTGTTTCTTGTAAGCACTAACTTCAAACACAAGGAGAGACACTGTTTGACTTGGAGACCCCCTTCATCAAACCAACGCTGGACACAAATAGACCACATAGCAATAAGCTATCGTTGGCGTGGGTCGGTAGGAGATTGTCGCTCCTTCTGGAACACGTGTGTAGATACCGACCACGCACTGGTCCGCGCTCGGGTGTGCTTACGACTGAACGGACGTAGGAAACAGCTGGCGGTAAAACCATCACGTCCCCAGCTCGATCAGGAAACTAAATCCGTATTTGAGGAAGAACTAGTTAAACACATATCTGTGTTCGACAGCTGTGCTCACCCTGAGGAAGCTTGGAAAAATATCCAGGCAGCCATAGATACAGCTGTAAAAGCTGTGAATAAGGTAAACCCAAAGGTGAGTAAAAACCACTGGATCTCCACCGCCTCATCCGAACTGATAGATGCTAGAAGACTTATTCCGGCGAGCTCCGAATTCAATGAGGAGCGAAAGCTGCACAAGAGGAAACTTACGTAAAGCCTCCGCAAGGACCGTGAACAGTGGTGGGTGACAAAAGCCAAAGAGATGGAGAAAGCTTTGAGGATAGGCAACACCAGGCAACTATTTAGACTCATCAGGGAAACGGGTGGGAGAAGACAAATCATTAGTGAAACAATTTCGGAAAAAATGGCACTATAATTAGCTCCCAGGATAGACGACTGGATCGTTGGAAAGAGCATTATGAGGAGCAGTTTAATTGGCCCACAGCCACGCTCAACCTTCCGAGCATCCAACACCTCCCTGAATGGGATATAGACACAGGTCGTCCATCCCTAACTGAGGTTACTAAAGCTGTCACCAATCTGAAACTAGGCAGAGCCGCGAGACCTGATGGAATGACTCCAGAGGTATTTAAGTACGGTGGAGACAGCTTACTGTCTGCATTAACTGAGGTACTAGGCAGCGTCTGGGAATCAGAAGAAGTCCCATCGGGTTGGTGTAAGTCACTGATCATTCCCATATACAAGAAGGGAGACAAGTCTTCCTGTGATAATCACAGAGGGATTAGCTTGACTAATATAGTATCTAAAGTCCTAGGCTCAATAATCATGCGTAGACTAAGTGGTGTTCGGGAGGCACAAACACGAGAGAGCCAGGCAGGCTTTAGACCAGGAAGAGGGTGTATTGATCATATCTTCACCCTCCGACAGATTCTAGAACATAGGGATTCCTACCGGCGTCCAACAGTCATTATATTTCTTGACCTAAAGGCGGCATTCGACTCTGTCGATCGAGAAGTTCTCTGGAGATGCTTGGCTGTAAAGGGAATTCCGAGAAAATATATTGCACTGATTAAGGCACTCTACTCGTACTCATACAGCCAGGTGAGGGCTTACGGCGAGCTGTCATCTGAAGTGGTGACGACCAGTGGTGTCCTCTAAGGATGCCCATTATCCCCTTTTCTATTCAACTTCATCATAGATGTGTTAATGGACTTAATCCTAACTCACTTCAGCGACTCAGGGATTGACTTGCTACCAGGGAATAATCTCGTTGACTTGGAATATGCAGACGATATAGTCCTTCTAGGCGAAGACGCTGACGAAATGCAGATCCTTCTAAACACCTTGAGCCGCAATCTACGAATGTTTGGGATGCGATTCGCTCCCGCCAAATGCAAGATGATGATACAGGACTGGACTACATCGACGTCTAGTTTAAAAATAGGAAGTGAAGTGTTAGAGCACGTTGACCGCTCCACTTATTTGGGAAGTTGCATCCGCCCCAACGGGTTGATCTCTGATGAAATCTCTGCACGGATACGGAGGGCTAGTATCGCATGTGCCAGTTTACGCCGTTTCTGGCGTAATATCTGGCGTGATATCCGACTATCGACCAAATGGTGGGTGTACTTCTCATCAGTCCGCTCCTTCCTCCTTTATGGCTGTGAAACCTGGCCATTGAGAGTGGAAGACATGAAAAGACTAGCTGTCTTTGATCATAGGTACCTGCGTTCTATCTCCCGTGTGTGTTAAGTGGTATAATAAGGTGAGCAATATTGAAGTGAGGCTTCATTTGAGTGTTAGGTAAGGAGGGGAAATCAATCTACGAGGTTGTGAAGTTACATCGACTGAGATGGTTAGGACATGTGTTACGTATGCCTAGTCATTGCCTTCCTCGACGGGCAATGTTAGCTGATATAGGGGTCAGGCTGGAAAAGAGCTAGTGGCGGTCAAACCAAAACATGGCACCAGTCAATGAAATCTACTACAGTTAGTTTAAGCCACGTAGGAAGATGCAGACTTCCTGGCTTGGGTCCTCGGGACGGTAAAAACCAATGCTTGGAAACAATTGGTGACATGGCTCAAAATCGTTCTCAATGGCTAGTGCAGATGCATCCACTCCTTGTGATTTATGATTTCCAATGAAACTGTTTTGTTCTTCGTTACTACTATTCCTTTGTCTCACACCTCTGTTTACTGTCTCTAATATGCATTTCTTCTACTTTCTTCTCTTGCTTTGTGTGCTACATGGAGTGTGGTGACTTGAACTTCGGCACATATGTGCAAAATTCTGTATCGAAGACAGACAGTCATGAGAACCACCTACATTTGCTAGCTTAGCAGTCAGGTAAGCACACAATGGTGTAATACTGAAAGAGGTATCTTTTATACATTGAATCCACATAACCCATATTGCACTGCATCAATCAGTGCAAATATGTATTATATCCACTAAGAGATAACTCTTAAGCTTACCATAATTCCTGTCCAACGACAGGTAAATTGACAAGCACATCTACATGGTAACTTAAGTTCCCACAGAAGGTTCTGTTAGCATTTAGAGGTGATTTCCATATACTGTCAAAAAGGACTGTTATTCACACGAAAATAGGCTGAATTAATATCCTGAGGCGTGAAGTCTTCATTGAATGATACTATGACGAAAGGTGCAGCTTCTATGTGGAGTAAACGATTAGTGTGGATGACATTACCCCCTACTCTCCCGTCTTCCTCATTACACCGATATTTTGACACGCTAATCATTGCGACCAATATGCTAAGAGTGTGCCGGAGTCAGATCATATGACGCGGACAGAAAATGGGAATCCCCATCAATCCAAATAATATATAATACAACTTTATTAAAAGTTATGGACAAAACAAATTTCTAGGCGAAATCTCAACAGAATGTGATGTGTATGTCCAGCTGTACTTCAAAGTCATTGAATTCAGGTCCGATGACCTTTGAAAAGCGGCCAAATTTAACTCCGAAGGTCAGCCCCTAATAAATGAGGGTCTTATTGTTTCCTTTTGTCACTTTTCGGGATGTGCGTGTGATTTGCTGTGAAACTAATGGCACAGTGCAAGTGAGGAAATATGAAGTTAACTTTCAAGTGCCAAATAGCAACAGTGAAGAATAGATACCACAACCAAATTACCTTGAGCCAACCAGTCAGATCCCTAAACACTACAAAAGGATGCTTTTCGTAGTCTCCGTTGTAAGTTTCACCCTGACTTATGGTTCGAGTCAGAGTGGGATATGTCTAGGTCTAAATTAGGGTTAGGACTAGAATAGGGTATCCAATATCCTGATTACGAGCTAGTATAAACCAGTGATTTCTTTGAGCTCGCTTCTTGATTGTGAGGTAGAGGTTCCAGATCTTTGGTGAGCTTCTGTTTAGTAAGTCCCGCCACTCGACTGCTTTAGCTCTGGTAGACTCCAGGAGGAATGGTGCGGGGATTGGTCGAGATGTGGTTTGTAGTATTCAGTATGTTAGGACTGTATTGCTGCCGTGAATGGAGTTTGACCTAACTCCCGTTGGTCATTCGGTGTAGTCATAAAAAGCAGAATAGTAGTAATAATAATAAGAATAAAAATAATGGGTTATAGTGTAGATAATATAGGTTGAGATAAGTGGAATAATAAAGGTGACCTAAGGAAAAGATAGAGTGAGAGAAGGCAGAATAGGTCGCGGGGATTTAGTTTGTACGCTTATCAATTGACAGTGTGGTTTCAAGTTTTATGGGGATAAGCCATTGAGAAACAAACCTTGCATTTCTGCATGATTGTCTAGCTTCCGCTTAAAAATCTCCAGATTATAACCGTGATGGAATCAACCCTAACTACTGACTTCAGCGACTCAGGGATTGACTTGTTACCAGGTCATAATCTCGTTGGCTTAGAATATGCAGACGATATAGTCCTTCTAGGTGGAGACGCTGGCAAAATGCAGTCTTTCGAACACCTCAAGTAGCAATCTACGAATGTTTGACATGTGACTTGCTCCCGTCAAATGTAAGGTGATACTACAGGCCTGGAATACATTGACTCCTGGCTTAAAGATAGGTAGTGAAGTGGTAGAGAGTTTTAACCACTCCACTTAGTTTGGAAGTTGCGTCAGTCGCGACGGGTAGACCGCTGACAAAATCTCAACACGGATACAGTAGGCTCGTTTAACATACACCAACTCGCTCCATCTCTGGAGCAGACGCAATCTTCGCCTATCGACCAAAGGGCGTGTATACTGTTCAGCAGTTCACTCCGTCCTCCTCTGTGATTGGCTGTTAGACAGGGTCATTGTAAGTGGAAGACTTGAAGAGACCAGCTGTCTGTGGTCATAAGTGCCTGTGTTCTATCTCTCGTGTTAGTTGGTATAACTGGGTGAGCAATATTGAGGTTAGGCGGCGAGGTTAAGACATATGTTGCGCATACCTAGTCATTGCCTTCCTCGATGGGCGATGTTAGCTGACATGGGATCAGATTGGAAAAGAGCTAGAGGTGGTGAAACCAAAATATGGCTCCATCGGTCAATGAAATCCGCAACAGCTAGTCCAAACCAGCCACGTACAGAGGTGTAGACTTCTTGGCTGGGATCTTCGGGGTAGTGAAAATCAGTGGCTGGAGACAATTTGTGGCTCAAAATTGTTCTCAGTGGCGCAGATGCATTCGCTCTTTCTGATTTATAATGTCCATATTACTATTCTTTTTGCCTCAATTCTGTTTGTTATCTCTCGTTTGAATCTCCCTTTACTATATTCTCTTACTTTGTGTGCTACATGGAGTGTGGCAACTCGAAATGCTGCGCATCTGTAGAAAGATACACGTTAAAGCCAGTCAGTCACCAGGGATATATTAATTATCTGATGCACGATGTGGGTCCACATAGATGTTCTAGAAGATATTATCTCATGTAGATGACTTATAGTACTGCATTTTCTTCAATCATCGGTTTTACTTACTTAGCGGCCCTTACTTTTGTCTCTGACTAGATATTATACGAGGCTACCTCAGATAAGTCTTGTTGTCAGCTTCAGCCACTCATTTATTTATTTTTCCCTTCAATAAAGAGTGTGATCAGCATCTACACAAGTGTTCCAGAAGGCGAAACAGTATTTTATCGACCCTTTCCGTCTGTAGCTAATAGCTACACTATCTATTTGGGTCCATCCTTGATTTGATGGTGGAAGCCGCTAGGTTAGAAGATATCTCACCTTGTGTTTGTAGTTAGAACTGACGGAGAACAGATGATTGTGTAAACAGGACTATGTAATATGATCACCGTTGTTGTTCCGTCAGCGTGGGGCTTCATAGATGCCACTAATATACTTTTCATTTTGTCACGGCCTCCCTACTTCAGCAATAAAGTTACCTGCTAAAATGACTATATCTGAGCCTTTAGCTTTCAACAGCAAACTAGACTGTTTTTGATAGAACTCATCTTTTAATTAGTTTCAGTTGCAACCAGTTGATTCGTAAGTAGAGATTATGAAAAAACATCAAAAAGTGGATTAACTTCCGTATTAAGATGTTACCGCCGGCTGCGCACCCTTGCGAGGTAAGTCGGAATGTGCGATTTTCGAGGTTGAATTTTTCCAACCCCCTTCTCCAGCATAACTGCCATACTGCGTTTATATCCTTATTCACCATCACTACAACTTCAGCCTATGACCAACATAATGTGAGCGACTAACACTATGATGGTAAATGCTTTTAGTCTAAATGCTATCCAAACGATCTGCAGGAGCATTCGTCCTAGCTAGTTTAGCCTCTCGGTTCATTGCGATATGCAAGCAACAACCATCCTTAAAGTCTTTTGTTATTATGTGACTCGGTAAATGGAGGGGTATGTCTGACTGTGCTACTGGTAATTGACTTGCGAAAACGACTTGGGGGTAATATAGCTTTTAATGTTAGGACACTGCCAAATAGGACAACAAGCATCACTAGCCAAGACCCTGGCATCTCGAGCCATTGATGTATGCTGTGTTTCAGAAACACGCATACAAGACCCAAGTGTGGTTATTCACCTAACCCCACCTGGCCAACAGGTTGAATCTGCAAAATTCACCTTGAGGGTGTCAGGAGATGCCACAGCTAGTTCACGAGGATTAGCTGGCGTAGGGATAGCTTTGAGTACTAGGGCAGAAAAGACATTGCTTGACTGGATCCCGGTAGATAGCCGAATGTGTGCTGTCCGTCTGAACGGATCAGTAAGAAGGAGGAAGGACTGCACTACTCGCCGATGCCTTTTCGTAATCTCCGCCTACGCCCCCACTGACTGCAGTTCAGATGAAACGAAGGATGAGTTCTACCAAAAGCTGTCTAGTTTGGTGCGAAAGGCTAAACGCTCAGACATAGTCGTTCTAGCTGGTGACTTTAACGCTCAAGTAGGGAAATTGTGTCAATCTGAGAAGGATGTCGGTGGCACCTATGGAGTTCCGTGCCAGCGAACCGACAACGGTGACCGTCTCCTACAGTTCTGCTCTGATAATCATTTGTTTCTTGTAAGCACTAACTTCAAACACAAGGAGAGACACTGTTTGACTTGGAGACCCCCTTCATCAAACCAACGCTGGACACAAATAGACCACATAGCAATAAGCTATCGTTGGCGTGGGTCGGTAGGAGATTGTCGCTCCTTCTGGAACACGTGTGTAGATACCGACCATGCACTGGTCCGCGCTCGGGTGTGCTTACGACTGAACGGACGTAGGAAACAGCTGGCGGTAAAACCATCACGTCCCCAGCTCGATCAGGAAACTAAATCCGTATTTGAGGAAGAACTAGCTAAACACATATCTGTGTTCGACAGCTGTGCTCACCCTGAAGAAGCTTGGAAAAATATCCAGGCAGCCATAGATACAGCTGTAAAAGCTGTGAATAAGGTAAACCCAAAGGTGAGTAAAAACCACTGGATCTCCACCGCCTCATCCGAACTGATAGATGCTAGAAGACTTATTCCGGCGAGCTCCGAATTCAATGAGGAGCGAAAGCTGCACAAGAGGAAACTTACGAAAAGTCTCCGCAAGGACCGTGAACAGTGGTGGGTGACAAAAGCCAAAGAGATGGAGAAAGCTTTGAGGATAGGCAACACCAGGCAACTCTTTAGACTCATCAGGGAAACGGGTGGGAGAAGACAAATCATTAGTGAGACAATCTCGGAAAAAATGGCACTATAATTAGCTCCCAGGATAGACGACTGGATCGTTGGAAAGAGCATTATGAGGAGCAGTTTAATTGGCCCACAGCCACGCTCAACCTTCCGAGCATCCAACACCTCCCTGAATGGGATATAGACACAGGTCCTCCATCCCTAACTGAGGTTACTAAAGCTGTCACCAATCTGAAACTAGGCAAAGCAGCGGGACCTGATGGAATGACTCCAGAGGTATTTAAGTACGGTGGAGACAGCTTACTGTCTGCATTAACTGAGGTACTAGGCAGCGTCTGGGAATCAGAAGAAGTCCCATCGGGTTGGTGTAAGTCACTGATTATCCCCATATACAAGAAGGGAGACAAGTCTTCCTGTGATAATCACAGAGGGATTAGCTTGACTAATATAGTATCTAAAGTCTTAGGCTCAATAATCATGCGTAGACTGAGTGGTGCTCGGGAGGCACAAACACGAGAGAGCCAGGCAGGCTTTAGACCAGGAAGAGGGTGTATTGATCATATCTTCACCCTCCGACAGATTCTAGAACATAGGCATTCCTACCGGCGTCCAACAGTCATTATATTTCTTGACCTAAAGGCAGCATTCGACTCTGTCGATCGAGAAGTTCTCTGGAGATGCTTGGCTGTAAAGGGAATTCCGAGAAAATATATTGCACTGATTAAGGCACTCTACTCGTACTCATACAGCCAGGTGAGGGCTTACGGCGAGCTGTCATCTGAACTGATGACGACCAGTGGTGTCCGTCAAGGATGCCCATTATCCCCTTTTCTATTCAACTTCATCATAGATGTGTTAATGGACTTAACCCTAGGTGACTTCAGCGACTCAGGGATTGACTTGCTACCAGGGAATAATCTCGTTGACTTGGAATATGCAGACGATATAGTCCTTCTAGGCGAAGACGCTGACGAAATGCAGAGTCTTCTAAACACCTTGAGCCGCAATCTACGAATGTTTGGCATGCGATTCGCTCCCGCCAAATGCAAGATGATGTTACAGGACTGGACTACATCGACGCCTAGTTTAAAAATAGGAAGTGAAGTGGTAGAGCACGTTGACCGCTTCACTTATTTGGGAAGTACCATCAGCCCCAACGGGTTGATCTCTGACGAAATCTCAGCACGGATACGGAGGGCTCGTTTCGCATGTGCCAGTTTACGCCGACTCTGGCGTAGACGATATTCGACTATCGACCAAATGGTGGGTGTACTGCTCATCAGTCCGCTCCTTCCTCCTTTATGGCTGTGAGACCTGGCCACTGAGAGTGGAAGACATGAAAAGACTAGCTGTCTTTGATCATAGGTGCCTGCGCTCTATTTCCCGTGTAAAGTGGCATAATAAGGTGAGCAACATTAAGGTTAGGCGTAGAGTTCTAGGTAAACAGGGTAAATCAATCGACGAAGTCGTGAAGTTACATCGACTGAGATGGTTAGGACATGTGTTACGTATGCCAAGCCATCGCCTCCCTCGACGAGCTATGTTAGCGGATATAGGGTCAGGCTGGAAGAAAGCTAGCGGCGGTCAAACAAAAACTTGGCACCAGTCAATGAAATCCACAACAGTTGGTCTAAGCCACATAGGAAGGTGTAGACTTCCAGGCTGGGGTCCTCGGGACGGTAAAAATCTATGGTTGGGAACAATTGGTGACATGGCTCAAAATCGTTCTCAGTGGCGCAGATGCATCCACTCCTTGTGACTTATGATTTCCAATGAAACTGTTTTGTTCTTCGTTACTACTATTCCTTTGTCTCACACCTCTGTTTACTGTCTCTAATATGCATTTCTTCTACTTTCTTCTCTTGCTTTGTGTGCTACATGGAGTGTGGCGACTTGAACTTCGGCACATCAGTGCAAAGTTCTATGTCGAAAACAGACAATATAGCCGGACAGTAGAATTACGTTTAGCTCTAAGCAATTTATATTAAACTTATATGATAAGTCCAATAAGAAAATGTTGGTTGCTATTTGGTGTCGATTAGCGTTGTGGAGCCTACGTAAGTAACCAACTGTGTCACTCACTGATTTGAACTAACATCACCATCGTCCACCTTTACAAGACTACCTAATATATCTCAGTGCTGTATAGCTTATTTGAATGTATTTTTTAGTTGTGAAACTTAGAGAGTGCAACTGTTTCCTACGCTTAATGTAAAAGCGAGTATAAATATGAATGAGGTTAAGCTTATCAACCGCTGTCAATAACTTGACCAATGAACCTTCAAAATCACATTGAGGCAGCCAGTCACATCACTCATCATGAATGCCATGCATGTATTGAGTTCGTCATATGTTGTTTATCTGGTTTCCTAGTTTTGTCTAAATGTTGGATTATCTGTTATTGTTAACTCAGTAATAAAACTGTGTATACATGTGGGAATACAGTTTATTAACAAATGTACTAACCCTAACATTGCCTTACTACGATGGGTTGTACTAGGTCATTTGAAAGGTACTTGGTGGTGACTGCTATAGTGTAACTTCACCTAAATATAGCTGTCTTTTAACGTATAAACTAAAGCAAGTTTTCATTCTGACTTCAGTGATATGAACCACTGTCATATGATTTCTTACTTCACTGTACATTGATAGTTACTAGGTCAGATAACAGTTTATAAAGGCAAATTTGGTTTTCGTACGCGTATGAACAAGGTATTGTTTGGTGGTTCAATTGTAGTTTTTATTCTGTATTAAATCAAGCTCTAATCTAATATATTTACTTAATTTTGAAAGGTAATACGTATCTAATCCTGACAAATGACAAATATGACACGTTTACTGATTAGTAACAAACTTGAAAAAGTCATCGCATTGGATTCTAAAACAAAAGAACTGATTTCTGAAATTGAAAGTATCAGTAAAAGTGTTAGTAATATAAAATCCTGTCGAGAAAAACTAGATTATTGTCAAGCCAAAATTAGAGAAAATCTTGTTGTTATAAATTCGACTTTGGATGAACTACAAAGTTTTGAACACGAAGGAAACATCTCATCGACAAATAGGTCTCTTTATGAAGCAGTTATCCATAATAAGAAACAACTTTCTGTGCTGCAGGTAATGAGTGTTTTTTGTAAATCCACTTTTGCTTCGTGTATACTAAACATTATATACTTGTGAAATAAAGTGTGTGACATATCTGCCATCTGAAAAAAACTATGTATAGCAATTAACCACTGTCAAAGAAGTAACAAAAGTAGATTTCAAATGTATAACTGACTGGTCGGTGGTTGGAAAATGGGACCAATTGGCTACTGATATGCTTATCTTGAGCGTTTAAATGTACTTTTATCAATAAAATCACCCATAAAATAATACGAGAGGTGCTTAAACTTCAGAATATATTTTAAACCACTTCTAAATCTATGCTATTAAAAGATCTGTAATCTGGACAGTGTTTTTTCATTGTTGAACATACACTTAATTCGATAGCCATTTAAAATTTACGCAAGATAGATATTTTTGTGTACTAAGATGTGAGCGGCACTTTATATTTGAAGGTCCTAGGTTACCTAAGCCTATATAAATGTAAGGCTTTTGAATCGCGTAGCAGACTCATAATGTAATAGCTTATCAATTCAAAACCCTTTAGGTTCGTGTCATCTACTGATTTCCATATTTCCTTGCGGGAATTGGACAAGGCAACTATTTTCATTTTAGAGTTCTTTAGTGGTTAGTTGTCTGTGTAAGTTTAAATGTTGGTTATTGTACCTAACCCTCTGGAAAATTAAACTTTGTGTGTATAAATCCATTGGATTTCTTTAAAACTCTAAGTCTGTATGCAGTATTCTTATGTTGTTTTTTAGAAAAGGTTTAAAGACTATATTTCGTAGCAATTTGGTGTTGTTACAATTATTGAAATCATCTAAACACTGAGTTTCAATTGCTCATGTTTATGGGCAAGGTCATCATCATCAACTAATCAAGCAGACTACATATATTTCGACTTAAATATTTCTGGTCCCCAAAGGATACTGTAGTGTATTGCCGCAAATAATAAACCTGATCCTAACCTTTGCCTGCAGGATTAGTTGGTTAAGATCTTATTCAGAAAAAAAGAGGTGTATTTTTCCATAGGTTTTGTTATAACATCTGGTTAATTCCTTGTTAAATTAGTAAAGTCATATGCTGTGATTGAGAAATTTTCTCTGTTTTTTAAATAATCATTGATGTGTTATTTCGTCTGTTATCTGTTTTTACACTTAGTATTTTCGTGTTCATATAGTTATATTCCTTTTCTGGATATATTGTGCATCCTTGTTTATAAACTATTCGCTCTTATATACACTAGAATCGATATCGTAGAGCGATTTTCGCAGCCAATTCAACATTAGAAATCATTGAAAGAGAAGAACTCGTCAATCGTTCATCTAACAGAAATGAAAATGAGGGTAAACTTTCCAGTCTGAAAGAACAGTATCAAAATTCATTAGAACTCACTCAAGATATGACAACTTATGCTAGAATATTGGCTGAGGAGGTTCGACGTGGTGCTGCTAATGCTGAATTACTTGAAAATTCTTCTAGTAAAATTATTTCTAATTATTCTGAATTAAAAGAAATGGTTGGGTATATGAATCAGTCTAAACGTCTTACGTCTCTAGCCCGTCGTAGACGTGCAACAGAAAGAGTCCTTTTCTTTTTAGCTTTTTCATTCTTTTTTTTAAGTTGTGGAACAATATTTTTACATAGGGTACCCATGGGTTATTGGTTTTTACCGTCGAATCATTAGCTTCACTGTTTTGTGTTTTATTTCGTCTTGTTGCTTTTCTTTGTGACTTTCTTCATTGTATTATAATAGAGGTTTTTGTATTTCCCAATGAATGAAAAACAAAACGAGATTGTTTTTACTGACGTTTCGCTATTTAATGCTAATAGCTTTCTCAAAGTATTATTAAACCGGGATTTACAAAATCTCAGCATATATATATATATTAAAATGAATATCATATACCCAATGCCCAAATTTTTTCAAACCGTTAAAAATGAACTTGGTTTGGACATATATAATTTCTTCATTGTATTTTCAATGTGATATTTCTTTTGTACATATTGTTATTTTCCCAGATTTCATTTGATACTTATCAATTGTTAATTTGTTAAGCCAAGATATGGTATATTGGTAACACAATATTTTCTGTGTGTCGTTCCTGATTTCCGGTTATATTAATGAAAAATATGTCTAGATGTCATTGTGTCACTAACTTTCGAAATGAATTTCCTTGTGTTAGCCTATACAGTTAAAGTAACTGAATAATTGTATACACTAGGAGATGGAATCGACTAGTACTAGTTTAAATCGAATGTTGAAATATGAATTCAAAAAACTTTACTGATACCTTTAAAGTTTAGAGCTACTGATGGAGTTAGTTGACTTTCACCCGTGGAGTTCTCTGTTTCAATCCTTTTTCGTCCACTTCGATGAGGAATTGCTTTCAAGTTATAAAGCTGAGCGATTTCTACCAGATAATCTCACTTAATTTCTTTTGTTGACACAAACTCAAACTGGCAACTTAGTTGTGTGCTGTCAAGTGCCCTTGTCAGTAGTTTACTATTATTATTCTCTTAGGTTCCGAGTGAAACAGAAGGCTTCAAGTCCACACCTCCATTTCATCTTGCTTCCTTCAGTTTTGTTTATCTATCTTCATGTTCGCACATAAGCCCTCATCTCCTTCACGTCATCCTTAGAGGCCCAACTCGTTCCATTCAGTTTCCACTCGAGCGCCGATCTGGTGCGCGATGTCACTCATTGGTTTCCTCAGTGTGTCCGAAGCTCTTACCTATTGCGTTTTGCGATTCAGCTGTTCTGGAAACCTGAGTAATTCCTAAATGGTAGTCAATGATCTTTTCTTTACATCAAATGAAAAGAATATATTTCATACATTTATTCCCCTTAATGAATTTGAACAAAGCAAGAACTACAGTTTTAGCAGAATAAAATGGTACCATCTTTTATTTCGTTGCCTTCTCGTCAGCTGCTTACATGGCAAAGACATTATTAAATATATCTACAACAACAATTTTAACATACTTGCACAGAGTTAAGTTTAAACAAAAATCAATCGATCAGTATACTCATACACTAAAAATATATACATATATAAATATGCAATATTAACCACTATTCCGAACAATAATAATCAACACAATGGAAAACTTTTAGCATTTCACATTCGGATGAAAGAGAGGTGAAATTATCCAGTTACCAGGGCAAAGCAAGGCTGATAACCGCTTCTTTCTGGACGCATAAATCAGGTTTCAGGCGCTTGATGGAAATGGCTTCAGCAAACTTAAGGAGAATTGAGCTATTTTGCTTATTGATAATTTTGAACGACTTTTCGACGTCCACCTCATGACCCGTGTCGAGAAGATGCCTGGTGATGGCACTGTTTAAAGCATTTGTTCCCTTTAGACGTAAGCTTTTTGGTACATGTTCAGAAAATCGTAGATATGCCCTTCTTTCTGTCCTTCCAATGTAACTGCTCCCGCAGATACATGTAAATTTGTATACACAGTTGGAGGTAACATGAGAAGGATATTTATCGATTTTTGATTGCACCAAAGAGTAAGTTGTTCGATAGACGGGAACGAGCTTGGCTGCAGGATACGCTATGGCTAGTGATGTACTCAGCCTTCTGTTGATCATCGCTGCAATATTTTCACCTTTATAATCAAGCTGAAGGTAGACTGGCTTTTTTTCCACTGTGATTTGTTTTACTTTTGTGACTTCAGATCTTCCATACTTGTTGATGAACCTTTGAGGATACCCATTTCTCTTCAATATATTTTCAAGGAACTCAAACTCCTCCTCTAGTTTCTCTGTAGAGCATATTCTCCTCGCTCTATAGTACAAAGTCTTGACTAGACCACGTTTAAAGCTATGTGGACAAAAGCTATTAAAATGCAAGTATTGTCCTTCCCATGTGGGCTTTCGATAAATTGACTTTTGAAGACTACCGTCTTCTAGGCGTTCCATGGCTATGTCGAGGAAGTGAAACTTTCCGTCACTTTCGTGTTCCATAGTGAAGTCAATATTGGCGTGTGCACCATTGAATAATCTTAGTAAGTGTGAAGCATGACTTTTATTTTTGCACACTATAAATGTGTCATCAACATAACGAGAGTAGGAAGATGTTTCGTCGATTGCATGCTTCAGCTTTGTTCTTTCAAGGTTAGACATGAATATATCTGCTAAAACAGGGCTAAGTGGACTGCCCATAGCTACACCATCTATTTGGCGGTAAAACGTGTTGTCAAATAGGAATTGCACATCCATGGTGCACATAAGCAGTAGGCGTTTGAATTCAGACTCTGGGAGTGGGAGAAGATCGGACTGCTGACAGATGATTTCAATGGTTTCATTGACTGGAATCATTGTGAATAGGGAGGTTACATCAAATGTCACCATGAAGTTATGTAGAACGTTCATGTGATTCACACTTTCAGAGAAATGAAATGAGTCTTTCACCGTGTGCACGCCTAGCCGCTGACGAATAGGTTCCAACTTCTCCGCAAGCCAACGTGCCACCTTATGTTGGGGCGAGTTGATAATCGAAAGTATGGGTCTCAGGGGGACTTGTTCTTTGTGTATCTTCGGAAGGCCATACATGTGTGGCAAGCGGGACCCTCGAGGTTTCAAATCATTGTACGTGTTGTTGTCAATCAATTTCTTCTTTAGAAGATCTCTCAAGGCGTTTGTGATACGTTTTTCGACTGCATCTGTCTTATCTTTCTGGCAACTGTCAACTTTAAATCTCAACGGGTCATTTAGCACAGCTTTCATCTTTGCGATATAGTAATAGTAATTTTCTCTATTCAAATCGTTGTCAGACAAAGAAATTTGATTTCTTCACACATTTGCAGGGTGTAACCGCTGCTGCATACTCAATTATTAGAAACCAGTTAAACTTAACAATATACATACTGGAGTGGCCCTATTCAATAAATTTTGTTTTGGGGTTGTGCAAACATTCGATTAATTTTCATCAGGGAAAGAATCCCGGTTGTTTTTTATTTATTCGGATGCTTGCAAGAGCTGTATACATGCAATTTAGCGTGTGTAGCTGAATGGCGATGTGGTCGTTGAGTAACCTGACAGTCTTGGGCTTACTCCTTCACAGAATTCTGGGTATTGTATTAGTGAGGAATCGAGGACTAGAATGAAACAGCCTTGGTTTTTAATGTCTCTTAGTGATGTCGGTCCGTAACTGTGTCAACCCTGAGATCAGTCAAATCTCTATAAATCCAATGTCTAACTAATGCACTTCTCTCAACGATTTGTTTAGAACTTTTCAGCAGTTTAGATATTGTCTATTGTATTAATAATTTAATAATTCCCATTGTAGCATTAAGAACACAATATTCAGCGAAGAGACTCTTTTCAACGAATTTATTATCAAGCCGTACAATTGTATATATATATATATATATATATATATATATATATATATGGTTTTTAAGAAATTATATCCGGTGAGGGAATTAGATCAAAAGTGTGAACACATGAAATAATAATAGTATGAAATGCAATTAAAATATTTGTGATTATAATCATGGTTTAATGTCAAGTGGCAAAATAATTAATGTCATATATAGAATAATACATAAGGTGTAATAGATATTGGAAAAGGGTGCATAATTATAGGATTAGTAGGCGAATATAAAATGTTACATAATATGGTGTGAAATTTGATACGATAGATGTTTGCAATACGTAGCTAATATAGTTGTCAATTTATGGTTGTCGGTTGTAACCTATTGATCAAATGGATAATGTAGGCAGTCAACTAGGAGACACAACATCAATGTGCGCCATAGTGTTTTTTATAAACTGAAATTTCGAGTTGGTATTTATTTGCTGATCTTTTCGTAATTTATTTATTGTCGGTCCCTGCCGATAACTGCTACCTTGTCGTGGTGGTCGGGCTTGAATACCGTAATGACCCAACATGCTAAACTGACTGGTCCCTGTCCCTGCAGGTCTTACCATGTCAGGAAGGTTGTTTGGATAGAGGTTAAACTAAAAGCAGTTACCTTGGGGTACATGGGCTCCAGTATCCAATCGGATCAAATGGCGTATGAACTCATATGGGTCACCGGCAACCATGGGAATGCAGCTCCTGATGCTGCTCCGCTGCCTTGCGGATTAGACTCCAAGTCAAAGGCTCGGGGGTGGTGCCTTAATAAAACCACCTGCTTCGTTCTGGGCACCTGGGCAGTATCTCAGCCCTCTCACAATGAATTGAATAAACAATTAATGAAACTTATCGCGTGCTATTACACGTGTTGCAATTTCCTTCTTTCTTCCCTCCCCGATGATAGTTAACGAATACTGTTTGAACTTGTTAAGCATGACTGTTTTCCTTCCAGATGAAGTTCTTTATCCGTTCTCTACTTATATATATATATATATCTTTTAATCTATATTGTTTTATTATTATTGTTTGGCACATCCTTCTTGGTGCCATATTGTACCAAGTTTTTATGCGTTTAAATAATATCGGTATTTGGTTACCGTAGAGATGAAGCTCTAATTATCGGTTTTCATTAAAGAAATGCAGTTAGATTTATGATAGATTTCTTGCAACTATAAAGCACAACTGACTGAAACTTTAACTACCTGAAGATACTTATTTGTATGCACAAGTGCAATATTAAATGTCTGTCTGTTTTCGACATAGAACTTTGCACTGATGTGCCGAAGTTCAAGTCGCCACACTCCATGTAGCACACAAAGCAAGAGAAAAAAGTAGAAGAAATGCATATTAGAGACAGTAAACAGAGGTGTGAGACAAAGGAATAGTAGTAACGAAGATCAAAACAGTTTCATTGGAAATCATAAGTCACAAGGAGTGGATGCATCTGCGCCATGGAGACCAAAGGGCAATATTAAATAATTCGAAATTTATAAATACACGACAAAAGGTTCCATCTAGAAGGCGTAATACAGTATTTATAGATTTATAGGTCCCACTGCAGGTTCGAGTGGTAACAGTGGCTGGATTTGTTTATTTTGCACACAGAGCTCCGATTGTTTTAAGCCTCTGCTAAGACTTAGTGGTCTTTGTTAATTTTTTCGGTACCCGATAGGTTATAGAAAAAGATTCCTAAATGTTAACTTATTA